GTAATAGTTGTACTACTGCTAGACTAGTAGTAATGTCATTGGTAGTACAATTTGCAGAACAAGTAGTAGCAGTAGTAGTAGTAGTAGTAGTAGTAGTAGTAGTAGTAGTCGCACTATGGTACTAGTAGCCCTAGCAGTTAGGAGTAATAAGAATAACGGTTCAGTAGTATAGTAGTGGCCGGTGTTGTAGTAGTTAGTAGTAGTAGTAGTAGTAGTGTTAGTAGGTGTTTAGTAGTAGTTAGTAGTAGTAGTAGTAGTAGTTGTGTAGTAGTACTACTAGAAAGTAGTAGTGGTAGTCGTAGTAGTGGTAGTAGTAGTAGTAGTAGTAGTAGTAGTGTAGTAGTGTAGTGGTGGTGGTGGTGGTGGTGTTGGTGGTGGTGGTGGTGGTGGTGGTGGTGGGTGGTGGTGTAGTTGTAGTACTAGGCGTTACTTAGTAGTGGTAGTGCAGCCGGCAGTTTGGTAGTGGTAGTTGGCCGTAGGTAGTGTAGTGTAGTAGTAGTAGTAGTAGTAGTAGTAGTAGTAAGTAGTAGTAGTAATGTAGCTAGTTTAGTAGTATAGTGGTAGTAGTAGTAGTAGTAGTCGTGAGTAGTAGTATGTAGTGGTTGTAGTAAGTAGTAAGTAGTAGTAGTACTACTAGAAGTAGTAGTGGTAGTCGTAGTGTAGTAGTTAGTTCGTAGTAGTAGTAGTAGTAGTAGTGTAGTGGTGGTGGTGGTGTGGTGGTGGCGGATGGTGGTCGGTTGGTGGTGGTAGTAGTAGTAGTACCGGTCGTACTAGTAGGTGGAAGTGGGCAGCTGGCAGTGGTAGTGGTAGATGTCGGCAGTGGGTAGTGGTAGTGTAGTAGTAGTGTAGTAGTAGTAGTACGTCTTATATTATTTAGTAGTATCTACTCTTCTCATCGAAATATCGTTTAGTAGCTAGTGTGTAGTTAGTAGTAGTAGTAGTTGTAGTAGTAGTAGTGGTAGTAGTAGTGTAGTAGTAGTAGTAGTAGTAGTAGTAGTAGTAGTAGTAGTAGTGGTGGTAGTAGTAGTAGTAGTAGTAGTAGTAGTAGTAGTAGTAGTAGTAGTAGTACTACCTGGGCCAGCCCAACGGGCCAGAGGCGTGCTAAGATCTTCGGTACCTAGTTCACAATCTTCTCGTTTGCTCGCGCGGGGCGGCCCCTGGGGCCCCCCGGACGAAAAGAACCCCGAGCAGGTTCTGGGCACGTCGGTCCCAGCGATGGTTTCCTTCTTCGGCGCTGACTTCCAGGTCCCAGAGCGCCCCGGGAACGCCCCAAGAGAGCCGAGACGCCCCCGAGACGATCCGAGGGGCCCTGAGTCGCCGAAAGATCGTTCCAAAACAAACGCCCAAGATGGCTTCCAGACGGCCGAAAACGCCGCCAAGAAACCGCGGGGAGCGTCAGGAGGCCTTCCAAGAGCCTGAACAAGCAAAAACCTCCCAGGCATTCGTCACCCCAGGGCCTTCTGGAACGCCCCGGCGCCTTCTGAATTGGCGAGCTAAAAACGTGCCTCGAGCCACAGCGGGAGCGCAACTTTGATACACCAAGCGGGAAGGTCATTTCATTCACTTCGAGCGGGGGGGGGGGGGCGCGCCCAGTTCTTGCCATGCACTTTTGCGGGGTGGACGACAAAAACAGATGTGGGCAGGGAAAACCAGCATGGCATTATTTCTGACAAGTAAGGTGGCCCCTCCCGCCTTCGGGTTGCCCCAGAAGTCCGCGTGCGATGTGCGCCGCGCCCCAATCCAGCCACGCATTTCGCATCGTCGACGACAGGACAGGCTATGATGAAAGGAACAACGGCAACTCTGTATTGTTTTTTACAGTCAGGATGGGAGGGCCCGCAGCCCGCATGGACGTCCGCGCGCGATGTGCGCCGCGTCCCGCTCCTGCCACATATTTCGCACCGTCGGCGACAAGGCAGGCTATGCTGAGAGGAAAAAGCGGAGACTTTGTATTGAATTTTTACAGTGAGGATGGGCGGGCCCGGATTGACGGCCGCGCGCGATGTGCGCCGCGTCCCATATGCGCGCGGCGTCCCACTGTTGCCACATATTTTGCACCGTCGGCGACAAGGCAGGCCATGCTGAGAGGAAAAAACAAAGACTTTATATTGATTTATTACAGTCAGGATGGGCGGGCCCAGATTGACTGCCGCGCGCGATGTGCGCCGCGTCCCATTCTTGCAACGTTTTTCGCATCGTCGACGACAAGAAAGACGATGTTGAGAAGAACAACGGCCCCTTTGTATTGACTTTTTACAGTCCGGATGGGAGGTCCCGGATCGGGCTGCTATCGGCTGGAATACGAGGTAGGTGGGGGTATATAATAATAAAGAACAAGGATGTGGGTGTGGGTGCGTGCGTGGGTGTGTGTGTGTGTGGGTGTGTGTGGGCGTGGGTGTGCGAGTGTGTGAGTGTGTGTGTGTGTGTGAGAGAGAGTGTGTGTGTGTGTGGTGTGTGGTGTGTGGTGTGTGTGTGTGTGCGTGTGTGCGTGTGCGTGTGTGCGCGTGTGCGTGTGTGCGTTCGCGCGTGTGCGCATGTGCGCGTGTGCGCGTGTGCGCTCGCGCGTGAGGTGCGCGTGCGTGTGCGTGTGCGTGTGCGTGTGCGTGTGCGTGTGTGTGTGTGTGTGTGTGTGTGCGTGTGCGCGTGCGCGTGCGTGTGCGTGTGCGTGCGCGCGTGCGCGCGTGCGCGCGTGCGCGCGTGCGCGCATAGGCGCGCGCGCGTGCGCGTGTGGCGGTGTGCGCGTGGTGCGCAGTTGAGCGCCTTTGCGCCTTTTGGTCTGAGCGCGTGTGCGCGGCGTGCGCGGTGTGCGCGGCGCATGTGCGGTGGTTGTGCGCGGTTGCGCGGTTCGCGGGTGGTGGGTTCCGCGCGTGGCGCGTGCGTGCGCGCTGTCGCGCGCGCGTGCTGCTGCGCGCGTGCGTGCGTGCGTGGGCGTGCGTTGGTGTGTTTGTGTGTCATGTGTTTGTGTGTGTGTGCGTGCGATAGCGAGTGCTGCGGTGGTGTGTGTGTGTGTGTGTGTGTGTTGTGTGTGTGTGTCGCGTGCGCGTTGCGCGCGTGCGGGCGCGGTGCGTGGTGCGCGGGTGCGCGGGTGCGGGCAGTCGTTGCGCGGTACGCGGTAGTGCGCGGGGTTGGCGCCGGCTCTACGTGGCGCGGGTGCGCGGGTGCGCGGGTGCGCGGGTGCGCGGGTGCGCGGGTGCCCGGGTGCGCGCGCGTGCGCGTGCGCGTGTGCGTGTGCGTGTGCGTGTGCGTGTTTGTGCACGTGCGCGTGTGTGCGTGTGTGCGTATGTGCGTGTGTGCGTGTGTGCGTGTGTGCGTGTGTGCGTGTGTGCATGTGGGCGCGCGCGCGCGCGTGTGTGTGCGTGTGCGTGTGCGCGTGTGCGTGTGCGTTTGCGTGTGCGTGGGCGTGGGCGTGGGCGTGGGCGTAGGCATTCGCGGGCGTGCGCGGGCGTGCGTGCGGGCGCGTGCGGGCGTGCGGGCGGGCCGGTGCGAGGGGGGTCGCGCGCTGCGGGCGGGGCGGCGGGCGGGCGGGGGGCGGGCGGCGGGCGATTCCGCGGGCGTGGTGCGTTGCGTGCGTGAGTGTGTGTGTGTGTGTTTTGTGTGTGTTTTTGTGGTGTGTGTGTGTGGTTGTGTGTGTGTGTGTGTGTGCGTTGTGTTGCGTGCGTGCGTGGTGAATCGTGCGGTGCGTGCAGTGTGCGTGCGAAGTGCGCGGCGTGGGCGTGGCGTGGGGTTGTGCGTGGGGTGGGGTGGGCGTGGCGTGGGCCGTGGGCGCGTGAGCGTCGCGAATTGCGCGTGCGCGAGCGAACGTGTGTGTTTTTGTGTGTGTGTGTGTGTGTAGTGCTGTGCGTGTGCGTGTGCTGTGCCTGTGTGTGTGCGTGTGCGGGTGCGCGTGCGTGTGCGCTGTGGCGCGTGCGCGTGCGTGTGCGTGCGCGTGTGCGTTGGCAGTGTGCACGTCTGCGTGCGCGTGCGTGTGCGACTTTTTACCGAGGAGCGGACAGCGGGCGTGTGTAGGTATGTGTGTGTGTGGTGTGTGTGTGAGGTGTGCGTGTGCGTGTTGCGTGTATGCGTTTGCGTGTTGGTGGCGCGTTGCGCGTGCGCATGTTGCGTGTCGTGTCGTGATGTGTGTGGTGTGTGAGTGTGTCGTGTGCGTGTGTTGTGCGTTTGTGTGTGTTAGTTTCCACGCGCGCGGCTCCTCTGCCCGCGCTGGCGCGCGAGGCCGGGACGCCAAAAGTGTGTGCGCTGTTTTGGTTGCGTGTGTGTGTGTGTTTGTGTGCGCGTGTGTATGTGTGTACGTGTGTGTGAGTGTGCGTGCGTGCGTGCGTGCGTGCGTGCGTGTGCGTGTGCGTGGTGCGTGTGCGTGGTGCGTGTGCGTGTGCGTGTGTGTGTGTGTGGTTGTGTGTGTGTGCGCGTACGCGCGCGTGTGTGTGTGTGTGTGTGTGTTTGTGTGTTAGTGTGTGTGTGTGTGTGTTGGTGTGTGTGTGCGTGCGTGCGTGCGTGTGTGTGTGCACGCGCGTGCATCCTCTCTCGACCTTCTCCGCCTCGACGCTGCGCGCGATGCCAAAAATTGTGTGTGATGTGTTTGTAAGTGTAGGTGTGTGTGTGTGTCTGGGTGGGGTCCTTCCCTCTCTTCGGGCCCTGAGGAGCTAGTGTGATTAAGTCATCGGTCCCCTGGAAGACGCCTCTTCGGATGCGTGCCTATAAACGAGGTTGTCCTTAGAGGGGCAGTGCGGCCCCGTCCGGGAGCGGGGGAGCCGTCTGCAAGGTTGCCGGCCAAGAGAGTCACGCCATTCAGAGTTCTCGCAGGTCGGTGTCAAGATTTCAAATGCGATAGCCTCGACCAGACGCTTGAACTCCACGAGCCCGATTCCGTTCCCGATCACCCCCCTCTTGCTCCTTCGAAAGGGGGCCCAGAACCTCCAGTGCGAAGGTTCGACCTTCATTCTGGAGGCCTTTTCCCCCTCCATGCTAGAAGATCTTTCTCCTCGAGAATGGTCCTTCTCCTCGAGGTACTCTGAACCAGCTGAAGTCTCGCAATAAGTCGCGGGTACGAGAGCGGCAGGCTCTGATGCAGTTCTTTAGGATCAAGGGCATCCCGGCCGCGCTGGGGCAGAGAGTCTTGTGGCTCTTCGAGGCACAGAAGATCACCTTAAAGAAAAGGGGTTCTCGGGCGGGGTTGGGACGAGGATAAAAAACCGTTCCAGAGCTTTCTGAACCGTTCTCGGAGCGTTCCGGAACGCTCTGGGAAGGCCGCTGCGCCCGAGACATCTTCCAGAGCTGCCGGATCTCAGAGATTCTCGAATCGTCCTCCCCAGTTGTCATCCTTGTCCTGGCTTCGTCTTAGCTTCTGAGGAAAAGGGCCCCTAGAGTTTTTCCATCTTTTCGGGCTCCCCAGGTTTCCCTGGGCCCTGGGGCCGTCGAAAAATTACCTGGGGTCCAAAAAGCAGTTCAGGGGAAGGCCCTGGGATGCCCCGATGACTTCATGCCAACCTCACAGAATAATGCAGTGGAAACCCACTCCAAGAAACACACTGCTTGCCTCCAGGGTGCCCTGGGTTTCTTGGTATTCGATGGTTCTGCGCTGGAAAGCGTGACATTCCCAATCAATGGACGCCCTGGGGTATCAGGGCTGGGTTTCTCGTGGGAGGCTTCTTGCGGTCGAGCTCAACATTTCATTCAGAAGCATGGTTTTCTGGACGTCCGCGCAGATTGTTGGGGTTCGGCGCTGGCCCTCCCTCTCCACCCCTGGGCGGCGCCCCCGTCGCCGTCCCGTACGCTCTCCGCGCGACCTGGACGAGGTGTGGGGACAGGGAGGCCCAGCGCCGACCTGAGAAATCCACACGGACCTCCGAAAGTTCACGTTTATGCAGTTCTGTGTTCCTCCAAAGGCGGACGTCGACATCAAAGATGATTGCCTCGTCGAAGCAGACCTCCCAATATTGTTGCAGCTGCCCACATCTATCCGTATCCGTCTGCGCAGAGAGTATTGCATGCCCCTTCTGCTGAAGAACCAGCTTTTGCGACGTGTGCACCACATCGGCCCTCGGTGCTTTATCCAGGTCTGCTACAACGCAATGAGCGACAGCCGCTACATGAGCCAGCAGGAGATCTTTCTGGACGGCGTAGACAGCAGCGCGGCCTACGTGGTGACATCAGGGACCGTCAAGTACGTCCAGGGGGGGAGCAGCACCGCCCTGACGCTCGGGGCCTGGGTGTCCGATGCGTGCCTGTGGGTGGCATGGAAGCACCTGGGCTCGCTGGTGGCCAGCACCTGCTCGACGTTGGTGGAGCTCAGAGGAGAAGGAAATGCCGATACCGCTACCTTCTTCGTTTTCGCTTGGTTGGGCCTCCTGGGAGGCCCTCGTCGCCGCAACTGGATTCGCTTGTACATCCTGGTCAGAACGCACCCCAGGAGACGTACGGCGAGTAGCGGTATCGGTATCGTTTGGGTTTCCCCCAGGAGTTGGACGCCAAGAAGTTTCGGAGGACCGTCCAGCGGTCTGGTGGCCACTTGCACCGCTGTCTTTGTTGCGTCGCCGTGCTGTATGCTCACGAGCTCGAGAAGCTCGCGGAGAACCATAGGGTGACCGACGACCTCGGCCTCGAAATGGAGCACGTCGAGGGCATCCTCTGGAGGACGCTCAAGTTCTGCGAACTCGGAGCTGAAGGGTCCACCACCCCCGAGGATGCCGCAGTACGACGCCCGCGGGGTAATAAGCGACTGCTGACGGGGAGTAGTGAGCTCAAGGACTTATTCCAGGCCAGCATCCTGACCCGCAGTCTTCCCACGGGCGCGTTCTCGCCGCGGTGACCGCCCTGGCCTGTGGGTTGCACCCCAGCTGCTTTTCAAAAGTAAACAGAGTTAGTACTCGGTAGGGGTGGTATGGGGATCTCTTAGCGTGGGAACTCGGGAACTACAGTTTCGCACGATTTCGCAAAGGCTTTAGTGCTCGATGTTGTGAGGCGCTTGAGCTGTTGTTCCTCGCTGCTTCTTCGCTGTTCTGCCGCTTTACCGAAGACGCCTGCGGCGAATCATCGCCGTCCCTTGCCTTTTAGGATTCGCCTTTGTGGCCAAACGTTTGGGCCACGTTTGGCCACGCTATTGGACCATGCGTTCCCGCAGCCGTTGTGGAAGCCCGTCGGGTAACACTCGGGGGAGGAAGCGGAGGATGAGGAGAGGGAGGAAAAAGGAGTAGGAGGAGAAGGATGATGAGTCTTCTTGGGAGCTTCTTGGGTCATGCTTGGGGCTTCCTGGGAGCTTCTAGGGGCTTCTTGGAGGCCTATTGGGGGGCCTCCTTGGGAGTCTTGGGAGCCTTTGGTGGCTTCTTGGGGGCCCCCTTGACCGTCTTGTGCCGTCTGACGTCGTCGGGAACCGTCTTGGGAGCCTCCCTGGGCTGTCTTTGGGCTGTCTTGGGGTTCTCTTGGGGCGCTGCAGGTCCGTCTTGCAGCCCATCTTGGGCGTCTGGGAAGCCACTTGGGCCGTCTTGGGAGCCTTTTGGACCGTTCTGGAGCCATCTTGGAGGCCTCTTTGGCGATCTTGGGGCAATCTTGGAGGCGTCTTGGGCCGTCTTGGGCGGACGCCCATTTGAAGCAAGTGCCAAAATCCTTCAACAACCTAAGGGAAATCAATGAATTTGGCATCTTCGGGCCTTCCTGGAGGACCGCGGAGGCCTCTGGGGCGTCTTAGAGGCCTCTTGGGCGCCTTTTGGCCCGTCTTAGACTATCTCGGACCATCTTGGCGGTCTTGGACGCATCTCGGGACCGTCTTGGAGGCTATTTTGGACTCTCTCTGAGCAATTTTGGCCGTCTTGGAAGCATCTTGGAGGCCGCCTTGGGCCATCTTGGCCGTCTTGGAGGCAATCCAGGCACCGACCACCGACGACCTGGAGTTTTGCGGGTGGCCGGCGCAATGAGCCGAAGACCCAGGGGGAAGAGAACCCCTGCGATAAATCAACAAGTTGGGCACCCCTGCGATAAATCAACAGGGGGCGGCGGACCTAATGGCCTACGGCCTATCCCGCCACCGTGCCTGCGCTGCGGTTCAGAGGTCAAGAATCAGAGGAGGCGGTGGAAATGGACGAGCAGGAAGGTGGAGCAGGAGGAGGAATTAGAGGAGTAGGAGGCAGGAGGCGGAGGACGAGGGAGGGTGTAGTTTTTGGTGGCCGTGCTGTGCATCCAGTGTGTCGCCCAGGTGCTTCGTCACCGAGGCGCAGTGGCTTACAGAGCGCTGTCGAGCGGAACAAATAGGACTCTGCTTAATCGGAGGCGTATATTGTGAGATGCTAAGCGCCCGCACATCGCCGAAGAACACTGGATAATTGCAGAGAGATGCAACGAAACCAACGCAAAGATATTGTTGAGATATCCTGCGAAGCCCACGGCATCCCTCCTTGGGGAGCCGAGCCGCGTATCTCGCGATCGAAAGGAGGGGGAGGAAGGGGAGGACGAGGACGACGACGACGACGAGGCCTGAGGTCGCGCCCCCCGGAGGGCCGGAATTTTTGCATCCGAATCGTGTCGGCGACGGCGGGATCCTCACGCGCGCCCACGACGAAATACCGCGGGACACATCGGGACACCGCACGGCACCACGGCGGGACACGCCTAGCCACCGCGCGCCCACTGGAAGGCCGGACTTTTGCATCCGAATCGCCCTGTCGACGGCGGGATCATTCCTCTCGCGCGCCCACGCAGCGTCGCCTCACCCGCACGCACGACACGAACACGAGACCTCAACCGATTTCCCGGTGAGGGGCTCTCCGGTCCCCTGTGACATCACCCCCCAACCTCCGATATTTCAGAATATCGAAAGCTTGAAACATCCATGTCGAAGTCAAGTTCGAGAGTGGTCCTACCGGCCTCTTCAAACGTCAACTCAACAAGTGGATAGCTCCCAAACAGTGAATTGTTATGTCGGGAGGGCCCTGTGGGGGGACATGCGCTATACAGTCCTAGATAGAGGAAGCACGGGGAGGGCTGGGCCCTCCCTGATAAGTTCACCTAGGGGTCGTCACCCCCCCCCCTCAAACGCGCAATTTTGGACTGGGGGGGTCAACTACTATAGGGGGGGCAACATCTCACACGCCTGGGTCGGCGCACTTTCGCGGCCCAGCTAGGAGGACACACGTTGTATGGCGGATGCGGTCTGGCGCTGGTGAAGCGGTGAATGGAGGTATGTACTAACGGTCGAGTGTATGTTGCATTTCAACAGTTCCAATAAATCTACAATGCGCCCGTGGGGGTTGGCGTGGACCCCAGCCCACTGAATCGCCAGAGAGGCCCAAACATGCCAAGAGAGCGCCGAGACGGCCCAAAAGGCCCACTAAAGGACCGCACGATGCGTCAAGACGGCCCAAGACGTCGTGAGAACTCCTAGATCGGTTCATCCATCCAATCCACCAGCCGGCCACCAAGAGACCCCGCGATACCTCAAGACGCCGCTTTTGGAACCCCACCAACACAGTCTGTTGCCTCTCAGAGAGGCGTGTCCTACAGTTCCACGCGTTCCGGGGGCGATGCGCCCAAGGGCCCCTTCTGCAGGTTGTCGTCTTCGAGGCCTCGGGACGTCGAGCTCGCGGCCGCGGCAGAACGGCGCCAAAGGCCTGCGAGAGCTTGTGGAAGCAGAGCGAGGGTAACTAGTGCTGGCAGCCGGCGCGGAGATGGCCTCCCCAAAGGGCTCATTTTTGGCGTCCACACGGCGTTCCCAAGTCTTCGAGGCATGGTGGAATCAGGGGCTCAATGGGCGCCAATAGTTTTGGTCCGCGCTGGCGCAGGCAATCGTTTGAGGTTGACCGTGGTTGGACCAGTATTTTTCGACGGTCAAGAATCTGCCTTGAGAGTGATCGTTGCAGACATGGCCGTGTCGGAAATTTGGGATGGAGTCCGCCGCAAGCGGGGTTATCCCGCCACATACGTTGAAAGACAGAGCAATATGAACAGAGGTAAATCATGTGTTGCGCAACTCGACCAGGAGTGCGCGAGAGAACCCGAACAACAAGTTGCTGTACTGACCTCAGATGCCATGCCCCCCACCCCCAGAACGTTCCACCTCTTTTTCCCTGTGGGGGCCAACATGAGGCCCTCTTGGGGCTCCCAAGGGGAGAACGTGAAAACGATCGAACAACCATATGAGCAACATTTCTTTTTACCTCGTGAGGGCCTTCTGGGGTTCTCTTGGAGCCTTGGTGGTCCTCTCGAAGTCCTCTTGGAGCCTTGGTCGGTCGTCTTGGGGGCTTCTTCGGCCGTCTTGAGACCAACTTGGGGCTCTTTTCGGAGTCAACTAGGACGAGGATCCACTCCGAAGCGTTCCAGAACGCTCTCAGAGCATTCCGAAACGCTAATTATGAGAAGGCCGTCTTGAGACCAACTTGGTATGCCTGTGGGGGGACATGCGCTATACAGTCCTAGATAGAGGAAGCACGGGGAGGGCTCGGCCCTCCCTGATAAGTTCACCTAGGGGTCGTCACCCCCCCCTCAAACGCGCAATTTTGGACTGGGGGGGTCAACTACTATAGGGGGGGCAACATCTCACACGCCTGGGTCGGCGCACTTTCGCGGCCCAGCTAGGAGGACACACGTTGTATGGCGGATGCGGTCTGGCGCTGGTGAAGCGGTGAATGGAGGTATGTACTAACGGTCGAGTGTATGTTGCATTTCAACAGTTCCAATAAATCTACAATGCGCTCGTGGGGGTTGGCGTGGACCCCAGCCCACTGAATCGCCAGAGAGGCCCAAACATGCCAAGAGAGCGCCGAGACGGCCCAAAAGGCCCACTAAAGGACCGCACGATGCGTCAAGACGGCCCAAGACGTCGTGAGAACTCCTAGATCGGTTCATCCATCCAATCCACCAGCCGGCCACCAAGAGACCCCGCGATACCTCAAGACGCCGCTTTTGGAACCCCACCAACACAGTCTGTTGCCTCTCAGAGAGGCGTGTCCTACAGTTCCACGCGTTCCGGGGGCGATGCGCCCAAGGGCCCCTTCTGCAGGTTGTCGTCTTCGAGGCCTCGGGACGTCGAGCTCGCGGCCGCGGCAGAACGGCGCCAGAGGCCTGCGAGAGCTTGTGGAAGTAGAGCGAGGGTAACTAGTGCTGGCAGCCGGCGCGGAGATGGCCTCCCCAAAGGGCTCATTTTTGGCGTCCACACGGCGTTCCCAAGTCTTCGAGGCATGGTGGAATCAGGGGCTCAATGGGCGCCAATAGTTTTGGTCCGCGCAGGCGCAGGCAATCGTTTGAGGTTGACCGTGGTTGGACCAGTATTTTTCGACGGTCAAGAATCTGCCTTGAGAGTGATCGTTGCAGACATGGCCGTGTCGGAAATTTGGGATGGAGTCCGCCGTAAGCGGGGTTATCCCGCCACATACGTTGAAAGACAGAGCAATATGAACACAGGTAAATCATGTGTTGCGCAACTCGACCAGGAGTGCGCGAGAGAACCCGAACAACAAGTTGCTGTACTGACCTCAGATGCCATGCCCCCCACACCCAGAACGTTCCACCTCTTTTTCCCTTTGGGGGCCAACATGAGGCCCTCTTGGGGCTCCCCGTGGTCATCTTTGGCCCTTTTGGGCAGTCATCGGCCGACCTTGGTGGAGTGTTTGGCTGGCTTTGGGCTTTCGGACGGACGAAAGGGGAGAACGTGAAAATGATCGAACAACCATATGAGCAACATTTCTTTTTACCTCGTGAGGGCCTTCTGGGGTTCTCTTGGAGCCTTGGTGGTCCTCTTGAAGTCCTCTTGGAGCCTTGGTCGGTCGTCTTGGGGGCTTCTTCGGCCGTCTTGAGACCAACTTGGGGCTCTTTTCGGAGTCAACTAGGACGAGGATCCACTCCGAAGCGTTCCAGAACGCTCTCAGAGCATTCCGAAACGCTATGAGAAGGCCGCGGCGCACGAGACATCCTCCAGAGCCGCCAGATCTCAGCCGGATCTCAGAGATTCTCGATTTGTTTTCACTGGATGTTATCCTCGTCCTGGCTTCGTCTCATCTTCGAAATCATCTTGGAGCCACAGTGGCCGTCTGGGAACCGTCTCGAAGGCCGCCGTGGGCCATTCTCTGACGGCCGTCTCGGCGGCGGGCTCCTGAGCACCCTGCGCGCTGGCCCTGTGCGCTCCTCGCGGGTCCGTGAGGGAGGGCACGGC